TAGGTGATAGTGGTGTTGGTGGTGGTGGTGGTAAAAAGATAGTATAAGGTGTTGTAGTAGTAGTAGTAGTAGTAGTAGGAGGAGGAGGAGGAGGAGGAGGAGGAGGGAGGAGGAGGAGGAGGAGGAGAAGGAGAGAAAAAGAAGCAGGAAGAGGAACAAGAAGAACGAAGAACGATGAACAAGAACAAGAAGAAAGAAGTAGAACGAAGGAAGAAAGAAGGAAAAAAAGTCAAGAAGTTCCAACAGCTGAAGGAAGGAAACAAGGAAGGTACAGAAGATCTCAGAAGCAACATCAAACGTTCAACATCAAAGAGCCACCACCAGCCTCACGGTCCACACACACACACACACACACACACACACACGGATCACCAGTGGCCGTGTTTCTTGGTCAAACTAATCCAGACACGAACCAAGAATCGTATTTTCGTGCCGAGTCCGTGGTTAGATTAGGTTATGTCACGTCATTGTCAAGAAAGAATTTAATTGGCTGATCCCCAGAACGTCATTGTCAAGAAAGAGTCTAATTGGCTGATCCCCCATAACGTCATTGTCAAGAGAGAATCTAATTGGCTGATTCCGCTCACGCAATGTTATAGAGAAAATAATTTATTTTTTCACTTAATAAATTAGTGTCGTATCTCTTAAGTGGATCTCTGCGTCATCGATATTCTCTTTAGCGAGTGAGGAGTGAGAGAAGTGTCTCTCTATCTCTCGTCTTTGATCTCTTAGTCTGTAGTTACTGGCTCTTTGTCTCTCTGACTCTGTCCCCAAGGTGGTCTCTATATTATCTCTCAGTCTCTCACCATTTAACTCTCATCTCTCTTCTTTATCTCTCACCTCTCACTCTTTATCTCAATAAGGTAATTCGCTAAGGTAGAGTCTCAACATAAGAACATAAGAATGGGGGCAACCCCTATTGCTCATATAAGCATCCAACCTATGTTTGAAGCTACCCAGCGTATTCGAGTTAATGATGATATTTGGTAACTTGTTACACTCATCCACTACTCTGTTTCCAAACCAATGTTTACCTATTTCACGCCGAAATCTAAATTTGTCTAATTTAAAACCAATGTTACGAGTTCGCTCCTGGTTGGATAGTTTGAGTACCTTCGTAATGTCCCCTTTGTTTAACCCTGACTTCCATTTATACACCTCGATCATGTCGCCCCTCACTCTACGTCTCTCGAGGGAGTGCTAATTAAGATGCTTTAACCTGTCTCTGTATTCAAGGTTCCTATGCCCGGGATTAGTCTTGTCATTCTCCTCTGGATTCTTTCCAGTGATTCTATATCCATTCTGTAATACGGTGACCAGAACTGAACTGCGTAATCCAAATGAGGTCTCACAAGCGCTAGATATAATTTTAAGATGACCTCGCTAGTCTTGTAACTAACACTCCTTTGCATGAACCCAAGTACTTTATTAGCCTTGTTACGAGCAAAAACACATTGTTTACTTGGCTTAAGATTCCTACTTATCATTACTCCTAAATCTCTCTCGCAGTAGGATTCCACAATGGCATCGTTGTTCATCTGGTAACTGGTTTCCCTGTTTACATCTCCTATACGGAGTACTTTACATTTGTCCACATTGAATTTCATCTGCCATTTTTCCGACCATTCGAAAAATTTATTTAGATCTTCCTCAGTGGATGTTTGGCGCCATTTTGGACGTGTGTGTGTGTGTGTGTGTGTGTGTGTGTGTGTGTGTGTGTGTGTGTGTGTGTGTGTGTGTGTGTGTGTGTGTGTCCCATTGTCTGATTATGTTGATAGAGCAGGTACAGGTAACTCACATAGGAAGGGAGGGAAGTGGGAGGGAGGAAGGGTCGGAGAGAGGTAAGGAGGAAAGGAAGAGGAAGGGAGGGAAGAGGAGAGAGAGGAAGGAGGAAGAGATGAGAGAGAGCGAGAGAGATGACGTAATTGCGAGTAACTTAAGAGAGAGTGGGAGGGAGGAGGCGGAGAGAGAGGGGAAGGGAAGGAGGTGATAACGCAGGTAAGAAGTGACTCACCACAAGCACAGACACACACACACACACACAGAGAGAGAGAGAGAGAGAGAGAGAGAGAGAGAGAGAGAGAGAGAGAGAGAGAGAGAGAGAGAGAATATTCCCTGGTTCCTGAGCAAAACAACAATACATCTTTCATTGTTTACAAGAATTATATTGCGCGGGAAAGACGAGAACTCACCCATTCACGTGAAGGAGATTGAATCCTCGGTTTTAATTGGTTGCTGGAAACTAAAGGACGCGTCTTATTGGTTACAGGAACACGCCTTATACACTCTATATTGAGTTCCAGGAAGTGTTTATTAATGACTCACTAACAGGGACGTGACTCTATTTCCAGGATCCTTAAGTCATTTCTCGGTGCTTCTGGTAAATTGGTTTTGCTTCAGGTAAATTAGGGAGGAGAAAAATTTTGAAAACGTAAAGCAGTTTTCCTCATTTTTTCCTCTTTTTAGGGGCGGTGGAAGATGAGGACAAAGAAGAAATAATAGAAAAGAGAAGGAAGACATTTTTTTTTACACAAGATGATTGACTGATGAAGAAAAAATACGATTAGGTGAAATTTTGCTTCTGAAAACAAGATTATTAATTGAAAACTTCAATTATTTTAATGAAAAAAACAAGAAAATAAAAAAGGAAGACAATTTTAGACAGTTTTTACCCACCATGAAGAAAAGATACAACCAGGTGAAATATTACCTTTGAAGACAAGATGAAATATTGTACCTGAAGACTCGAAGGGAAATACTATATATTCCTGTGGGCTGACAATGGACGGCACTGACGAAGAACCTGACGAAGAACCTGACAAAGGAGGTACTGCGTCGAGTGGGAGGAGGAGGTGGGTGTTAGTGGAGGATTCTTCAAGGATTTGTGTGTTTGTGTCTCTCCTCTTGACTTAGGACGAGAGAGAGATAGAGAGAGGGGGCGATAAATCCTTGATGAAATCGTCTCTATCTCCCCAAAAAATGTATTAATACATTCTTAGGGATAGAGAAAATGCATAGTTACGGGTCTCAGTAGGCAGTTCCGAGGTTACTCAGGTCGTCAAATATCTGTTACAGCTTTAATGAACCAGTTAGTGGGGAGGGAAGAAGGATTTTAACCAACGATGCTTTTAAAACCAATTTTCTTTTTCCTCATAACTTAGAATGAGTTATTGTGCCAAGTTATAGGTCTAGGTTAGGTTATTCACGTGTTATTTATGTCGTCAGTCTTGTGTTATAGTCAAAATGAAGCAGCTATGTACGTTCTTGATATACCAGTTAGGGAGAATTTTAACTTGGGGTCATTTTAAGATTTTTTTTTTTTGTCCTTGTGTGGTAGTCAGATAAGCTCTTGTCCTCTGGAATTAGTGGAGGAAGATTTAACATGCGAATCCAACTTTGTCTCGTGTCGGTATAATGAGCCATTTATATGCATCCTCACGTCTGCATTATGAGGTAAAAACTGATGGAAGGCCACTGAAGGAACCCATCTTTATGTGACGGGTTAAGTAAGACTCTTTAGGACGCTCTCTCATGGCTCTCGTTGTGGACAAAAATATTAGCGTAAGAACCATTGATAATTTAAGTCCCTGGATCTCCGGCTTTCTCCCCTTTCTCCTTCTTTCCTTTCTCCGTCCCCCCTTATCCTCTCCCTTCCCCCTATCCTCTCCCTTCCCCCTCTCTCCTCAACGGTGCAGAGGAAGGTGCGAGCGGCAGTGCTGGAGAAATTGAAGAGAGAGGAAATGTGTAAAAGTGAGTTATGACGTAGTTTTGGGGGAAAATTGAAGAGAAGCAAATGGAAAAACTGTAGAGTTTTGAAAGTCAGTGAAGCTGTGGGAGGAAACTTGAAGTGGTCACAGAAACCCCGGAGAGCTTAGTTACTTGAGGCCTGGCTGAGGGAGGACCTGACTGGGGGAGGACCTGGCTGAGGGAGGACCTGGCTCGGGAGGACTTGACTGGGGAAGGACCTGGCTGGGGGAGGACCTGGCTGGGGGAGGACCTGGCTGGGGGGAGAGACCTGGCTGGGGGAGGACCTGGCTGTAGGGGGAGAGGTTAAGTTAGATTAAGTTAGCATTAGGGTGATTGATCTTAAGGTAAAATAATCATGGGGGCTAATTCTTCAGGTGATATTACAAATCTTTGAAAAAACCTCAACTGATTCACAAATACCTTGACAAAAACATACACCACACCCATCCTCCCTGACTCTCTATAAGCCACATACCCACGTATCCAACACCTCATGTTTACTGATAGAGGCTTGAGGCTCCTACATCCAAGTATTCGATTCCTTTCATGTTAAAAAAGGAAACAAAAATCTATATATTGAATGGGATTTTCTCTTTGATGTGAGCCATTGAGAGTAGAGAGGGACCTTGTGCTTCGAGGGGGTTAAGGGCTCTTCTCTCTGCCTGGCATTGAAGTGGAACATGGGAGGCGGTTGCGCAGAGCTTTGTGTTGACATTCTGGGCTCAATAAACGGAGGTAAATATCATGTTCCTTCCCTGAATACCTACGTGTCTTTAAGTGATGTGGGTGTGTGGTGTGTCCATGGGGAGGTGTGTGAGGAGCAGTGTCAGGGTGTGTGTGTGGGTGGGGGTATGTGTGTGTGTGTGTGTGTGGGGGGAGCAGTGTCGGGGTGTGTGTGTGTGTGTGGGGGGAGCAGTGTCGGGGGAGTGTGTGTGGGTGGAGGGGTATATATGTGTGTGTGTGTGGGAAGGTTTGTTTGTGTGTGGGTGGGTGTATGTGTTTAGATGTATGTTGAAAGGCTTCTGTGTGTGGGTGTGTGTGTAGGCTGCAGTTCTATTAATATGTATATGTGTGTGTAACCTTTCTACTTAAAAAAACAAAAGACATACGAACCTTTAAATAATCTTACCTGAACAGAGACGATCTTATACACCTAATTAACACATGCTGCCTCCCTACCTGTTGCCTCCCACCGCCATACATTCATCATTCTCACCTTTGAAGACTTTAAACTCTGTGTTCCTCTCCTGCAGACACCACCCACGCCCTACCACCAGTGAGCTTGTGTGCCAAACGTCGTCCTCTGCTGCCTGAGAACCTTCATATCTTCTGCAGGTAGGTTCTGAAGTTCTCTCTCATAGCTTCTTCAGGTAGGTCCTCTCCGTCAGGTGTTGAAATATTGATGGTAAACTGGTATCTTGAGTTTATTTTTCCTCGTTATTAATGGCGGAGTGTCGAGAGTATGGAGTTGTGTGCTTCTCTCCTGCCAGAATGTTTCATAAGACCATCTTCCTCTCCTCTACTCTTCTTCTCCTTCGTTCCTCTTCCCCCACCATCATTACCACATTTTCCACACCATTATCACACTTTCTGTCTTCACCATCACTACATTCCCTCACGATTATCACATTTTCCCCCACCACCATCACCAAAAAATTCCCCAGGGGCCCATCACTTTACCTTCATCACCTCCACATTTCCCTGCCACCGCCACAATTTCCCTGCCATCGTCACAATTTTCCCCCACAACAATACCTACAGTTTCAGAGCTCTGCCAAGACCAACCTGGAGTTTTAAAAGGCTTTAGAAATCCTCCCAGGCGGTGTTTGGCATGTAAGTTACCGTCTTGGGGAGTGGAACGATAAATCTCCCCTCCCACCCAGCAATATTCCCCCAGTTTTTGCGGGAAGTTGTGTGCGTGGTGGAGTGAGATACGGCAGTACTCTGGATCGTAGTAGGGGAGTTTCCCTCACAGGTCACTGAGAGAGAGAGAGAGAGACAGAGAGAGAGAGAGAGTGTTGGGGAGGAGGAGAGGAGGAAGTGTGTGGGAGGGGGTGGATAGGGTGGGTGTGTGTGTGGGTGGTGACTGGATGTGTGTGTGTAAGGAACAGAAAGAAGAACGAGAAAGTATTAGAAAGGGCAGAAAGAGGGAGGGAAATAGAGTAATAGAAAGGGCAAAGGGTAGTTAAAGGAGGGGAAATAGGTTGTAGAGGGAGGGAGGGAGGATGAGAAACGGGGGTAGGGAGGCGGAAAGGTAAAGGAGGAGAGGGTCAAAGGTCAGGTGTCAGAGAAGTCAATGTAGAAAGCTGAGACGTATTGACAGGTGATTTTATATGTTGTAAATGTGTAAATAAGGTCTTGAGGGTTTCATTCTGTAAAAAAAGGGAAGTAGAGGTTTTTTTAGATGGTTTGTTCTGTCAAATACGGAATTGGTAGGGTTATCTGCTGTAAAAATCGGGGTGTAAGGATTTTATGCTGTAAATATAAGGATTAGAAGGATTTTTTGTTATAACAAGACATGAAACATCTCATATAGGGATTTATGCTGTAAATATCAGATTTCCAGATTTACTACAAGATTTTTGTACCATTTGAGGTGATTAAATACAGAAAAAATACAGCAAACAAGAATTTTTGGGGTAAACTACAGTTGCTGGTGACTTAGTAAACAGCTGATACAAAATTCTGGGAAGTACAGTGTTTTGTTTGTTTGTTTGTTTGTTTGTTTATTTGTTTGTTTTGTTTGTTTGTTTGTTATATATATATATTATCTGGGTAAATAGTACATAGGAGTACATTTATAGAGTAAGAGTACATTTATCAGGCTTGGCTTAGTACACCCAGCACAAAGGTCAGGTTGGAGAGGTCACTAGGTGGGGTCAAAGTTCAATTGGTGTGTGTGTGTGTGTGTGTGTGTGTCTCAACTTTACGTACCATGGACACGGACTGCCTCCACCCATCCTGTGTACTTGTGACCTCTGACCCCAGTATATCACGTACATCCGCCTCGTACTGTTAGTAAATCACGAACGCCTTTTATCGAGGTTTCCTTAACTACGGACTTTCTTCACCAATCGTACGTAAAATAACGGACCGTTCACCATCTACCGTACTGAAATCGAGGACATCTTGTATGTAAACCACGACCCCCACCAACCACCTCCCCCAATACCACAATAAACCACGACCCCACCAACCACCTACCACAATAAACCACGACCCCCCCCCAACCACCTACCACGGTTAACTACGGCCCTGTGACCCCAACACCCGCTCTTCGGTCTGATAATTACTAACTCTGGCACACCTAACCTAACCTAACCTAAAAACTGGGTCCTGAACTGTGAGTGATCTTACCATTGTGGGTAGCAGGGAATTGTTCTTTTGTTTGTGGGGGTTTTTTAAGGCATGGGAATGAGCTGTCGAGGGGCTTTTAAGAGATGGGAATGATTGTGATTAAAGATTAGGAATTCCAGTGTTTATTGATGGGAATGATTGTGATTAAGAGGGGATTGGGTGTGGGGTTTTTTTAATGACCACCACCACCAACAACAACAACAAACAACAGGTGTACTTAGACTAAGGCCTCCGTGTTGTGGCCTCATTAGCTACCTGTGGATAATTACTCTTACACACCTGGATTAACGTTGATACCTGTCCAGTCACTCGGGAACTCAATTAATGTGGCGACTGTGACGTTTTTCTTGACTCCTGTGGGATACGACCTTAATAAACGTGCTGTGGGAGGGTGCTGTGTCTGTCTGTCTGTCTGGTTTGTCTGTGTTTGAGTGTTTTTATGCATGTGTATGTCTGTCAGTCTGTGTGTGTGTGTGTGTGTGTGTGTGTGTTTCTGTCTGTCTGTCTGTCTGTCTGACGATCGTCCCCTAAATAGACACAAAGAAAACGGGCTTTTTTTCTTTCTCCGGGAAATAGCAAAAAATGGAAACAGCTTTACAGACAACCTCCAGATCTCAACACTCGTCTCTATATTCAGAGCACGAGTTCAGCGAGCGAGTGAATTCCCTGTGTTTCTTCCGCCTTCACCTACGGAGTGGCCCTCCCAAAGGAAGGCTCTTGTCATCTGGCTCACGTATGGCTCCTTGCCCTCAAAACCATCACTCTGACCTGTCTACGATGGTTGGGATTTCAGGGATTCTTACAATAGCTGGGTTTTTAAAGGTTCCTACGATTCCTGGGATTTCAAAGGTTCCTACGATCACCCTTCATCATCATCACCACAACAGAGTCAGCCCCCTTAGCTTTCCACTCATTCACACCCATCTCTCTGTTACCTGGATACCAAACTCCTCTTCTCCTCTCCTCCTCCTCCTTCCCCCCTCTATCCCCCTCCTCCTTCACCCCCCTGCCATCTCCCCCACCCCTTCCACCACCCCGCTCATCTAACACATTCTACACCCCCATCACCTTATGAATATTTACAAGAAACCAAACCGTAATTAACATAGCTAAGATTCTTTCAACTCTTCTCTGTTCAAGTCTGCCGTCCTTCCTAACGTAAACAGAATATCATGTTTATTCTATATTAGGTTATCTAGTTTTGTTTATCTTGTGATGGTATTTATTATTTATTGCTTTGTTTTTTAGTAGAGTTAATGTGATAAAATTTAGATAAGAGATGAATAAGAGATGTCAGTAGAAAACAATGGTAAACTAGGGGCCGTAAGTGATTAGGTCTGGGTATTTAAATGAGAAAGGGGACAGAAGAGGCTTATACCCGGTCCTTAACTACCCATCTGTGTGGTTAGGGGCAAGAGGTATACCTGGGCCGTGGGCGAGGGTAGAGCCAGGTAGAGCGCGGTAATCATAGGGTCGTTATGTAAGGTCAGGTCTTGTCCTCCTCCTCCTCCTCCTACTCCCCCTCCTCTTCCTCCTTCTACTCCTACTCCTCAGTCGCTATAACGGGATTTCCTTCACTCCATTACCATACTTATGGATCCCCGGGTCCTGTTGTTGTCTACATGGTGGGAGGGATGATGGAGGGAGGGGGGGAGGGAGGGAGGAGGGAAGGAGGAAGGGTGGGTAGGGAGGAAGAAAGGATGGCAGTAGCTGGAGATAGAGTGAGGGAGGGAGGAAAGTCGTTAGAGGTAAAACGAAAGTACATGGAGAGAGAGAGAGAGAGAGAGAGAGCACTAACCCCCTTCCTGCCATGAAAGCTACCAGAGTCACTGTACCCTGTTAAGCGCCCCCTGTTCAGTGAGCCGACAGCCGACTGACTTTACTGTAAATATCTGACCATAAAACGCAGAGCACTACAGGGCGACGGCGGCGACACACTGCAGAGCACAACACAATAGCAGGAGAGAGAGAGAGAGAGCGAGCGAGAGAGAGAGAGAGAGAGAGAGAGAGAGACAGAGAGAGAGAGGCAGGCATGAAGTGGAAGTTATCGTGTGATCTTGGAAGCATGACGCGTGGATGTAATCTTAGTGTCCAGCCAGCATCCATCTCTCTCTCTCTCTCTCTCTCTCTCTCTCTCTCTCTCTCTCTCTCTCTCTCTCTCCTGCTGTTGTGTTTGGTATGCGCGGTGTCACTGCAAATCATCTAGCAATTGCTCTGCGGTACATGGTCAGATATTTACAGTAAATCAGTCGGCTGTCACTGCTGGGGGCTGCTAAGTACAACGACTCTAGTAGCTCTTTGGAAAGAGAGAAGTGAATGCTTGTGCTCTCTCTCTCTCTCTTTCTCTTCTCTCCTTCTCTCTTGTTTCTGTTTCCTTCTTCCCATGCTTCCTCCCTCTCCTTTCCTCTTCCTTCTCTTCCTTCTTCCCTCCCTTACATCTCTTCCCCCCCCTTCATCCCTCCCTTCCTTTCCTCTCAGAGGAGAATGACAAGACTAATCCCGGGCATCAAGAACCTTGATTACAGAGACAGATTCATCTTTAATTTGCACTCCTCGAGACGTAGAGTGAGGGGCGACCTGATAGGGTATTATAAATGGAAGTCAGGGCTAAACAAAGGGACATTACAAAGGTGGTTTTAAATTAGACAAATTTAGATTTAGGCGCGAAATAGGTAAACATTGGTTTGGAAATAGAGTAGTGGACGAGTGGAACAAGTTACCAAATATCATCATTAACTCGAATACGCTGGATAGATTCAAACATAGGTTGGATGCTTATATGAGCAATAGAGGCTGGGTGTAAATGGGACTGCCCAGTATGGGCCAATAGGCCCGCTGCAGTTTCCTCCATTCTTATGTTCTTATGTTCTAATGTTCTTCCCTTTCCTTCCTTCCTTCTCTTACATCTTTCCCCTCCCCTCCCCCTCCCTCCCTCCTTTTCCTCTTTCCCTTCCTTCCCTCCCTTACCATTTTTCCCC